ACACAAAAAAAAAGAAGAAAAAAGAAAGACTGGCCTCTATACCAGCCCTCCAAAACAGCCACAGTCATTTGCAAGCTCGGCGTAATTTTCAGTTCTAATCATTTTGTCAGGATGCTGGTTACAAACGCTAACGTTCTTACTCCTGAGCAGAAACAAGCTCTTGTCTGCTGTGAATGGACAGGAGAAGCAGAGTCAGGCTCACCTGTGGTCCTCTGCAAATAATAAACAGTAAAGACAATACAATGGCAAGGCTGTTCTACTGCAAGCTCTGTCACTGACTCATAGCCGGTCTTGCACACAGTCCCTATTACAGATGAGCAGGCTTGTTTACAGTGTGGCTAATAGCACTTCCTTCAAGTAGTGCTTTAAAACCCTTGAATAAGAGGTGTTTCATCAAATGTGATTTGCTTGGTATATTCATCACCTCACAGCGTGGCTGTGCACAGTGATGCTGCTTGAGGGGCAGCCAGAAGAGAAATCACAGTAGGAGCTGAATCGATCACGTTCGAGGGGGTCTGGCAGGAGACCAGGGACCACAGTGGTTCACAAATGGAGACACTGAGCAGATTTTCCTCTAAACCTTCCACATTGTGCCCGAACTTGGTCAATTCTGGTAACTCCTGATTTTCAGGAAGTTTTAGAAATAACTGTTTAATACAGAGATGCATAGAAAATTGAAAAAAGAAATAAAATTATGAACAAAAATAAAATCAAAGAAAACTTCCTGTAAGGGGACACAGAAAAGGAGAAGCAATCTTTCACAAACTTTAAAATTCAACGTGTGGTTTTTCACCTCTCTCAGTGAAAGCTTGATCTCCTCTCTCCTGGATCCTGCTGACCAGCTCTCCTCCCTCCATGCTGAAACGAAGAACACACAAAAAATCCCCACTTTACTCGAGCAGAAAAGATCAAATTAACACCTGGCTGTGCATCCATGAAACCACACAGAACCATGGCAGGGACGGACCAGAAGGTATTACAGGCCCCCTATGCCAATGCTTCCTAGACAACATGCTCATTTGAACCAATGCACAAAGCATTCTGGTATGGAATAAACAGAAAACAGAACAAGACCAAGGAGTTTTGATGCTTTCGGTTTAATGTGCCCTGTCACAAGGAACGTGACACGCACGGTCGGGAAGTCAGATTCGCCAGCACCGGGGAGCTGACAGTAATCTGGTTTTATGTAAGAGCTGGAGATGAAGAGAAAATAAAGAAGGAAGCAAAGATCTCGAAAAGCATTATTAATTTGTTCCCAGGGAATTAGACAATAACTGTGGTATTACAGATCAAGGAGAGAACAGGAAAAGCTGGAGTCAAAATAGCAGCAAAGAGGATCATGTTCAATCATGGGATTTACATCTGAAACTGGAAGCCAATCGCAAGCAAAGCGCATCACGTTTGTACAGGCGCATCTTTCGAGGTTGTATTAATTAGCCAATGTTTTAATGAGGACAATTGTCACGGAGTACAATTTACGTTCTGGCTGAGGTTCCTCATTCCCCTACCACACAAGAAGGCTGGAGCAGCTGTACATTTCCCTACCAGGTCCATGAAGACAACAAAAGGGTTGCTGTGCAAACTAAAAGGCTGCTGGGAAAGCTCACCTAACTGCCATCTAAGCCAACACATTCTCCACTCCCTCCACCCCTCAAAGAGCAAGGCTCGGTGGGGGCTGCTGCTGGTCCATACCATTCCATGACAATGAGGAGGCATCTCTTCCCGTGGTGTATATTCTCATAAACATCCAGGACGTGGACAATGTGGGGACACCCTGATGCTCGCCAATGATACTCTACTTCCTGACGGGCTTTTGGGTTGTCGTACAGGAGCTGTGAAGAAATGGGAGAGAGCAACATCAGTGAGCCAGCATCATTCTGCTTTGAATGGGCACCTACGTGGGGTTGAGCTCGAAGACGGTGGCAAAGGCCACTCCTCACACTGTCGCCAGCCAAAGGATGCCAATCCATCGCAAGACTTTTACCATCTCTGGGCTGTCCAAATTCCTGGATTGAAGAATACAGAAACAACTGGACCCCTCAACGAGTGGCACTGAGGAGATTTTGAATCCGAGATGGAGACAGACCGATCTCATCCTCCTCTGGACGAGAAACACCATTTGTTTTCCTACTCAGTTGCAGCACTTGCAAACAGAAGAGAATCCCCCTGCAAAGGGCAATAACCTTCCCATCTGCCAGGAGAAAAGACTTCTAGGTGCAACACAAATCCTTAAAGTTCAGCAAGATTAAAACAATGAGGACTTTGACACTGATGCTGAATGTGCTCCTCAAATACCACACTAATTTTCAGGCTCAGAAAGGGATCTTTTCCTATACAGATGCTTGAACTCCTCTCTCTGTCACATGCAAGGCCGGTTTATTTTAAAGGCGCTAATCTCCAGAAGGGAGGCAGGAGCTCATCTTTCCTGATCCTGCACCCTCGTACACAAGAAATGCGTCCCTTCCCATTCTAAGAACTGCTCTGTATCGGACACCGCAACCGAGCTCGTGTGCAACAGGGGCGCACTGCTGACTCAGGCCTTTTCTCCCCTGCCTCGTCCCTCAAGATACCACTGACGCTTTATGACAGAGACTCTCTCTTTACTGCACGTTTATGTAGTTCCTACACAACACGGCTGCTATCTGAGTTTGATACCTCATGCCCCATAGTGATAATCACTGTAACGGAGCAGCAACAAAACCGACGCTATATAAAGCACTGTCAGATGCACTGAAGCAGAATAAAAAACAAGCAAAGAGCAAGCACCTCTGACCTATTTGCCTTAGAAAAGGACTGCAACAACTACGGGGGAACTGTTTTCCAGCAGGCAAACATGAAGTATCACTGCTGCACTATTAGGCCTTAGCCTGAAGCTCTTCTCACTCACGTTTGCTATCAGGTCCCAGTCAAAACACAACTGTATGATAATTGCTGAAAACAAGTATTAACGTGTAACCTGTCATTAGGGACCTAGGAATCAGCCCAGGAAGATGAGATTGCTTTTCCATCGGGTTGGCGAGCTAAGGCACAAATGGTGTCACGGGCACCTCTCAGTACAGGGAAACACAGGATTTAAAGGTCACGGGGAGGAAATCGCAGATTCTGGTTTCTTTATTGATTGAAACACAATTTACATCACTGGGGGAAAGAATGAAAAGCTCACACTTCTTTGCTGCTTCAACATCCCTTTCAGCAAAGCAGACACAGTAACACGGCAGAAAGGTCCGTAACCCGTTATGAAATACCAGGGATAGAAGGTAAGGAGCTTCTCTCCTTTTCCAGGCTGGGAACAGGAGAAGGGTGACAAGCCCTCCTCTGCCAAGCCACTTCTCTGTATTTCTGTGAAGCGCAGAGAGGCGGCAGGAGGGGAGGAACGGCCTCCAAGGGCTGCTGGCCCCTTCACTGCACGGGCACTGAGCCTCCTCACCACAACCACCCCCGGGCTCCCTCAGCTCTGCTGCAAAGGCTCCAGCGTGACACCAGACCTCAGCGGTGCGAGGAGCTGCAGAGGCTTTCTGGCCAAGTTCAATGCCCCGCAGCCAACCTACTTCTCCCACAGCTGTCGCTCTGCACCCAGAGCACACCCTGTCAGATCAACTATTGCGCCTCTTCCTTCCTGCTCCGGCCTGGCTATGGCCTGATTTCCAACACAAAGAACTTCCCAAAGAAAGAGATGGCTCCAGTCAGGACAAAAAGCCCGTTAGCGAGTCCAAGTGCAGTTGCTTTGCTTCTTTCAGCCATCAGCCCATTCAGCAGCTTTTCCTTCCCAGCCGCTGCGTTCCAGCTCTGTAGCACTGTCCATCAGCATTTTCCCCTCTGCCCTTCTGCGTTTGGGCTGTTGCCTAGAGGTCTCTTCAAAAAGTTCATTAAATTACATGTGCGACAACAAAGTCTAAACACCCTCAGGACGAACCAGGCCATTCAGAAAAGCATCACAGTGTTCACTGCTTCCATATTACTGCATTAATGCCACTTCTGAGCAGGATGCTTCGGAAACCTTCTCACCTATCCTGTGCTACTAATCAGACATCACCGTTCTCCTTACTAATGTTAACTGCACTGTAATCCGTGTATCTTGTGCTTGCACAGGGTGCAGAGATGTTGTTTTTCATGGTTGTACCAAATGCTTATGAAAATTGTTTCACAGAATTTAATTCTCGCTCTCTAAGCAGCTTCTACAAGGCATTTTGAGACACACAAGAACGCTGCCGTTTCTTTTCTCCAGCCCTACAAGCAAGTTTCATACACTCCTTGGTGCCAAGCTTTAAAGTACTCGTGTCAAGATGACACCTGGAGAAGCAGAGAAAAGGAAATGCAAAAATAAAGAGCAGATACATGTACCAAGCAACATCTGATATATCAACCGTTAACCTTTGGATTTCGCCTTCTTTCTCCTTCTTCTTAAAAAACTCATTAAATCTTTTCCTTATGTCTAAAACTGGAAGCCATAACTATACCTTTTACAGAGACGCAGACCTCTGTAAAAGGAAAGCCAGGCAGGGTTGAAAGCACCAATTTCTACACAATTTAGGTGGCAATTTAGTAACACAGAAGGAAATTCTAGCCCTATGGTTAAATTTAACAAACCTGCAAATAAAGCAAAGGACACTGCCACCTTCCTGGGGCTGAACAGAGACTGTGCTTCCCTTGCTGCAGCAGCTTCTGTGAGACTACGACCAGGCTGCCCTGACACTGCCCAGAAGCACAGGCGCAGTGAACAAACCCCGAGTTTCAGGGAAGTTCTCCAGCACCGCTGGGTCGCGCTGGTTTGAGGGCAGAGCAGCTCTGCCAAGCGCTGCCAGCCCAAGGTGCCCCAGTCATCGCCCTGGAGCTCCCACACAGCCCAGCTGAGTCACGGCTTGTGGGCAGCACTGTGCACCAACCTCACTGCAAAACGAGACAGAGCCAAGACACAGGCCCCATCTCCCAGTTTGTCGTGACCCAACACACAATGCTCAGCGGCCTTTGCGTAGCGGCGAGGCCAGGCAATATGGTTTGGAAGAGGAGCTGCGCAGTAGAAAACGGCCTTTTTGCTGGAGCTCAGCATTACTGAACCGCTGCCTAAAAGCGGCAGATGAAGCGAGTGTTAGCAGTTATTCACAGGGAGATCACCAACACCAGGGATTGTGTTGGGAAGGCAAGAAAGTAGAAGAGCTCTAGAGCCCAAGCCCTCAGTGATTCACACAGCTCCCCTCGACACCTGAAAAAGCCGCCGAGGGAGAGCTGCTCCATGGGGTGTGCTCTGCCTGTTTTGGAGAAACAAGAGATGTCAGCAGTGGCTCTGGGATGTCCTGCGAGCTCAGGTGGTGGAGGGAGGGAAGGCCAGAGCTCTAAATTCTGAGGATGGCCTAAAGCAGCTTAGTGAGCGCCTGCAAAACAAACCAAATCCTACACCGAGGCCTGGACGCCAGCTCTGGGGAATTTCTCCCTGTGCAGAATTTCCTGCTAGAAAAACAAATGGAGACTAAAAGGTGACACAGTATCTTCTAACTCCTTTTCCATCGATTCAGAGTGGTGTAAGCAAGAGAGGATGGCAGGAACCCTCGTACCTTAATGGTCTGATCTATACAGGAAATGAGCCCTGCAATGGCCCTGGGGAGCAGCAAGGAATTCTTGTGGACTCTGAATTGGTAACAGCAGTGGGAGAAGACAGCCATGGGCACAGGTACGACAGGCTGAGGACAGGAAACAGTGACCTGTTTGTGACTTTAATGTGCACTGGCAGATGACACAGATCACTGTCATACCTGCTATTATTCCCTACTTAGCGGATTAAGACCCACACACATGCTTTTTTTATTTATTATAAACGTCAGCAATTCCTTCTAGTTCCAAACAGTTACCGTGCTTGGATGAGACCTGCGACAGGCTCAGCTCTCGGGTACTGAACGTGCTGTGTTAAAGCAGCATCTGACACTGCAAGCATCTTTTACCTAAAGGCACCAATCCCAGGATCTGAACTCTCCTTCCATAGACAACCAGTTTGATAATCTTTACACTATTTTCCTCACAGGAAGGCTTCCCACTATCAAAACAGGAACGGGATCAGCAGAAACGTTCAGTCACGGCGGCCCTCAACATGTAATAGTGATGTATAGGCACTCAAATACAGCTCTGGTTCTTTTTCTAGCTGGGAAAAACCAAAATGTCTGCTCAAGCATAAGTGGGCAAATGTCTTGATTTCTTTTGCCTTCTTTCCTCTTTGCACGTAGCTGTTACAAAACTGCTGAATCCTACAACTAAGCCTTGGAAGCTCAATTCACGCCGAGGCACAGAAACCACCACCACTTGCTGCAGCGCAGCTCCTCCAGTCGTTCTTTATGCAGGAGGGGTTGATGGCAAAGGGAGGCTTGGATAATGTTTCTTTCATCTCTCACCCCTATGCTACAAAAAGAAGAGAGGGGGAGGAAGAAAAAAGAGCTATCACTGTGGCTCTGGACATTTGGTCTTCTATCACATCCTGATTATTTGCACTACATCTCTTAATTCGATGCTAACAATCTCGATCTGTTTCCAGATCTCTTCACACGGGATAAAGCCACGCTTTGTGTTAGAACGCCAAAGGAATCGAAATGATCAAGGTTTTCTTCTTCACACATCAGCACTGCCAGTCAAGCTGCAGCGAGAGGCATGTGTCTTTGTGGAATGGCAGCCCGGCAAGCGGGGAAATCCATACATGCAGATCTTAACGAAAGCATTGAGCGTTTTCATTAAATACAAGACAGAACACATTTCTGCTCAAATTATTTAGTACTGAAGCATCAGTCTATGGAAAAGGGATCAAACCAGCGTAGGCACAGGCGGGTTATCACTAAACCTTTCCCTTTCCTGC